GGGAACTTGAATAGATTCAAAAGAAAGCTCACAGATGACCCCAAATGCTATATTTGTGGTCACCATGAAGAAAGTGATTTGCATATACTTAGGGATTGACCTGCAGCAATGGATGTTTGGAATTCTACCAAGGCAACATCAAAGAATGGATTGTGCAGAAGATGGAAAATCCAGACCATGACAATGAAGAGAGTTGGGTCACCTATTTTGGAGTGGCTGTATGGTGGATTTGGAGGTGGAGGAACTGCTACACCTTCAACCGTCAAGATAAATTCCCTATTGATTTTGTAGCCTTCTTACAGGTGCGCTATGATGAAGCTAGAAGAGCTCTTAGAGGAGTGCTAGGTGAGGAACAGGTGAATGCTATTGTAACACCCCAATAATTCTCTCTTTAAATCTGTGAGGACTCTGAACAATATTCAAGAGAATTACTGGCGTGCTACCGCCACGTGTTCAAACGTTAAGGCTTTATCAGAAAACAGCAGCGGAAAAACTAATTCAGTTATAAATAAGTTTCAAAACCAATAACCCAAACCAAATTAAATCATACAACTTGGAACCATTAAGGCCCTTATTCAAAACCCCACAAAATTAGTAAATAAATAAAACCAGAGTTTAAATAAATTCAAACTTATGAAAAGAAATAAACTGCGAATAATAACCAACTCTCTACTCAAAATCCCACAACCCTGATGCGAATGCTGCGTATGTAAGAACCTGTGGTTAATCTGCTCCCCAATATTACAAATGAAAATTGGATCGTCACAGGGTCATTGAAAGGCGAAGGCCATGACCAAAGAGAGACACATAAAGCACGCAATCATCAAAGCTGAGTACATACAAGCTGCGAAATAAATTAAGAAATCCCTAACATGCTACTAATAACCAATCATCATGCATCATTAAATTATAGACTCAACACATGACTCAACTATCAAATTTATTAAGACTTCACTAGTTGATATTAACTAACTCATTTATTTATTTCATTGGATTACGCAATAGACAAAGTTGTCCAACCCATGCTCCATTTGGAACATCAATAAAAGAAAAACTCCATGCTTCCTTTCGGAAACATCAATAAACATCCAACGACCACGGGTGCGACTCCGTGACCGTAGTTATTATGAGATCTCACCTAACTCCTAGTTTTGAAAAATATTTGAAATAGGAGACTCGTAGATCAGACGACCTCGATAAAAGTACACGGCTAATACCCCGTGTACCCCAACCCCTGATTGTCATTACTCCAGAAGTGCACCAATCCAGAATTTTATTGCTCATCCATCTTGCACTTTACGTGATTTACAGGTTTAGACTTGGTGATGACTCATATGCAATCAATACAATCAATCCAATATCAATTCAATCAAGTAAAACAACTTTCCCATTTCAATTCTTGATTTATTAGTGACAAGAAACATTTATTATTTATTCCTTTACTATCTCGGTGTATAAACACCTTGAGTGCATAAGGCACCCCAAAACCTTAACCTCGTCTTATAAGACTTGAATTCTTCCTTTACTCATCCTGTTTGCATAATCATGAATGAGTAATAAATTAATCTTTACACCAATCACATACCTTTGCCTCTAAACGCACCTTGCATAATTAGAGCACAAATAATACTTGCAATATAAAATAGTGCATGTCATACGAAATTCAATGTATAACCAAACAATTTAACCTAGTCATCCCTATACATGATACTAAGTTTTCGATCCGTCCTTAAACATGCACCTAAAAGCAAGGTTTCGTAACTTGTACGTACCTTGAGCAAACGAATTGGTATGCCACTTTACTAACTAGAAATCACCTTCAATAAACTCCTCTCCTAAACCAAATAATAACATCTCAATCAATACCCAATCGTCAATCAAATTTACAGCAATACTAACTTACTTAAAAACCTTCAAAATCAAATTAAACAACAATTTAAAACCTTCCCTTTAGTTAAAATTAAAGGCTTATATATAGTTTTTTAAATTTTCTTCATAAAAACCTTAAAATACACTCTTATACATGAAATTACAGCAAGTTTAAAATTTAATAAAAATCTGAAAATTATTTAAAAACCCCTAATAATCTCCCTTTTTAATGGGTGATTAAACCCTCTTTATAAAACATCAAAAGTAGTACTTAGAAACTATTTCTAGCACTTAAAACTTCAATAAAAACATATATTTATGCCTAATTAACTTTAAACATAATTTGCTTCAAAAAAAACTTTAAACATAATTAATTTTATTAATCAAACTAAAGGATTATATTTTAAGTATAAAAATAATTCGTTAAAATAAAAAATTGCCCGAAAATCATATTTAGAGGTTGAATTTGGCCACAAGAGTCTTTCTTAAAACGTTGTTTCCACATGGAAAACACTACTTTTTCATCAAAATCGGATGAGTTCAGAATCTGATCGGGATTAAAACGGGATTAATATTAACGAACAAAAATCTAAAAATTAAAACACGAATCTACGTGTTTAAAATAATCTGGAATTAAGTTAAACTAATCAGTAGTTATAATCACCAAAATTTCAAAACATCATTACTATAAAAGCCCTAAATCAATTGTTCATAAAAAACCTAAAATCATGATTTTCAATAAATTGAAACCCTAGGTTTATAACTCATAAAATATAAAATTTATAACATAAATATAATCTGAAAGTTATAATCTTTATACCATCAAAATATAATTTGATACTAAAAATATAATCTTTAACTAAAATCAAAACCCAAAACAATTAAATTAACATTAAGCAAAATAATGAAACAAAAGAGGATGAAAATAAGACTAACCTTTTTGTGTGGGAAATTTTTGGAGATTCATGGGGTATTTATAGGAGAGAATTATTGTAGGGTAAAAAGGAAGATTGGACCTCATAAAAATAATGGGTCAATTAAGCAAACAAATGGGTTAGGCTTGTTTGATTGGACATAAATCGTAGAATAAAGGTGCATAAAATAATTTGTTCAAATAATTTTCGACCCAAATTAATAATTTGAAACTTTTGAAATTAAATTCCGGAAAATAAAAAATAAATAAAATAAAATTTATTTATAAAATATTTAAAAAATATGGGGGATTACAGCTATAAGGAAAAAGCAGATATTTGTGGCTTGGCAAGCTCCAGATTATGGCTGTGGTATACTTTGAATTGCGATGGAGCAGTAAAGGGATGCCCAGTACTTGCAGGAGGTGGCGCCATAATTCGTGACTATAATGGTACCTTCATTGCTGCTTTTCACTCGAACTTTGGGCATAGCACAGCGTTTCGAGCAGAGGTTATGGCATTGACCAGAGGCTTGGAATTAGCTTGAAATTTGCAAATTGATAAACTAAAAGTCCAGCTTGATAATATTGCATGTGTTCAAGCTCTTTACAAGAAGGAAGTTCCAAGAGGCGAGAATATACATGATATTACCTACTGCCAGAAGTTGCTCAATGACCCATCTTGGTCAACCAAGGTAGCACATGTATTTAGAGAAGGAAATAGAGCGGCAGATTGGTTGGCCAACCGCAGAGTCATTCACGACTCTCCCTTAGAATATATTTATAATGTTCTGATTGAGTTACGTATAAATCACAAAACAAGGTCAAAGGGATTATATTATTATTATTATTTTATTATTATTATTATTATTATTATTATTATTATTTATTATTATTATTATTATTATTATTATTATTATTATTACTACTACTATTACTATTACTACTACTACTATTACTACTACTACTATTACTATTACTACTACTACTACTACTATTAATATTAATATTATTATTATTATTATTATTATTATTATTATTATTATATCAAAAAACGTACAAAGTCAATCAATTTACAAGAAATTGGTGGGAAGTCGAGATACAATCTGGGCCCCCACCCCTCTAGTTATAGCAAACCCGATCATGCTGAAAATGTGAGCAGCTGCACGAGCACCAATATCCAGAGTTTTAGCGAACGTCTGTACCCGCTTCAGCAACGCAATAACATATTTCTCTAATTTCCCCAACAAAGAAAAGGAGAAAGGAAGAAAACCATATCCAATAGCCCTGCAACGTGCCCCATACTTGTCCCACTTCCGCTGAGCCGTCGCCGACACGACAAGGAACGAAGTCAGACAACCCTGATTGTGTTAAAGGTGAAGACCACGTCAAGTCAATACATACATCAAGGCCTCTATTCCAGGAATAAAGCAGCACATTTGTTGGTCGTAAAGCCCCGTCGTTCCCTCCAGTCAATCCAACGTTAACCTCCTTTCGAGCAGAAATCCCAAACCGAAAACAAATATCAACTAGGGTGTCACGAACAACGTTGTGCCGATGTTTAATACCCACAATCCCACCTATTGTTATTGTTATTGTTATTTGTTATTAGTTATTGTTATTGTTATTACCGCATTATTATTAATATTATTTTATTGTTATTATTATTATACTACATTATTATTAATATTATTATTATTATTATATATTAATTATTTATTATTATTATTATATATTAATTATTATTATTATTATTATCATCATCATTATTATTATTATTATTATCTTTCAATATTAGTTTTTATCTTTAAATATTAATTTTTATTATAAAAAAATTAATTATTAATATTATTATTATAATTATAATTTTATAATAATTGTTATTATTACTACTATTATTATTATATTAATTTTTTAATAATTATTAAATATTATTTATTTATTATTATTATTAAATATTAATTATTATTATTATTATTATTTTAATAATTCAATGTTAATTATTATTATTAAGCAGCTCTAAAGAATGGGGCCGTAGTATGTACTCCCTCCATCCCTAAATTATATTCGTACTTCTCTCTATTATGTGATAAATAAATACTAGAAGTAGGAATATAACTTAGGGATGGGGAGAGTACTACTCATAAACAAAAGCGGTCCATTTTCATGCATTACTTATTGACGGAGGGAGTACTACTCATAAACAAAAGCGGTCCATTTTCATGCATTACCTATTGACTAAAATGATAAGATAAGTTTTTTATCTGATGTTTTTGAACCCAGAAAAATGGAGGAAAAATTATCATCTTTTGCAAAATCATTAACACCTTCACCAATTCAACAACTTTCTTATCTTGCTCAGCGTTGCAACGCCATTAATCTTGCTGAAGGTTTCCCTGATTTTCCTGCTCCTTCCCACATCAAAAATGCTGCTGTTTCTGCCATTAATTCTGACTTTAATCAAAGCAGGTTTTACACTTTTACTTTATTTTCACCCGCCTCTCTATTTTTATTATTTTTCCTTCTATTTTTGACTATTTATTTGTACCCACATTCCCCAAAGTGTCAATTGCTTAGATAGTTTGACCCATGATTCATTGATTTATAATTTATTTTAGCTTCCTCCTATTTATGTAATTAATTGTACCACTTGGCACTGTTTGCATGATAATATGATACGACTAAAAAAGTTTATATACCCCCAAGCAGACTTGACGATTCTAATCCGAAAATTCCGAACTAGAACTAACCCGAACTGACTCTTACCCGACCTAAGTGAAGTTGACCCGAATGCAATCTGTTGCCCAAATTGACCCGACCTGAACTTGACATGAAACTCGAGACAACCCGACTCAATTTAATCCGAATTAATTGACTGAAGTGACTCGATCGTAAATAACTCGACCCAATTACTTTTCACAGTCAAAAAACACATTTTAGGAATTGGTAATACTTTAGGATTAATCCTTGCATAGGGTAACCCAGTTAGCGTACAAGTCTGCAGGCAAGATTGAGGAGTGAGGGGATGGAGGGATGGTTGGTCCCTCCATCTCCCCCCATGTGATGGGGGTTCGACTCCTCACGGCCCCATTCATGTGATAGGATGGGGCCCCCTCCCTGTAGTTTACCGGTAAAACAGAAAAAAAAAAAAAAAAAAAAAAAAAAAAAAAAGTCTGTAGGCAAGAAGCATTGTCCCAAGTAAACAGAGCATACTATGTAATAATCTTCGGGTGCTCGGCACACTCGATCACTAAAAACTAGATATAAGTAGATCCGTTGTTCTTTTTTTTTTTTGACATTTACTACTCGACAATAACGTAATATTTTAGTACTCCCTCCGTTTTTTTTTAAATGATCACTTTGATTTTTGCACTATTCACATGCCATGGTTGACTTGATTTTTCCACCTATATAAAATAAATGTAATTATGTAATATATCATTAGATTCGTTATAATGTCTAATTTCATAATATAATTTTGTTATAATTTTTACTAATTAATAATTAAAAATATTAATGGTCAAAGTTGTGTCTCGACAAATGTGTCTGTCAAACTGATGCAAATAAAAGAAAATAGAGGGAGTACTAGTATAGTTTATGAATCTATGTATCTATCTATTAATTTATACTAAAAGCAAATCCTTCCATGATACTTGTCATTACATTGTGAAAAATTTTCCGCCTCTTTCTCTTTTTTTTTTTTTTTTTTTTTTTTTGGAAGCAAAATTTTTAAGTAAACTATCTAACCTTGTGATATTTTCTTTCTTTTTTGACAATCATATTTCATATATATCCAAATCAAATATTTTTTAATATCTTTTATATTACTTGATGTAGAATTAATATTATTGTTAAACATTGCACGGGCTTTTAACCTTGTTTGTTATATTAGTTTAGTTGTACACTTGTAATATGAAATGATGTAATGACCCAACTCAAACTACTTACCCGACAATTGGACCTGGAAATTAATCCTACCCAAACTGACCCGACCCGAAATGAACCAATCCAAAATGACCCGGCCCGATCTTGATCTAAACCAAACTCAACTCAAAGCGTTGACCCGAAACTTGAATTGACCTGACTCGACCCAAATTTTTGACGATCTGTAATGACACGACACGAATTGATGCGAATGTTTTTTGATCCGAAATGACCCGACTCGAACGACTTGTTTGCCATATCTACCCCCAAGTGAAAGGTGAACACAAGACCCATGGATAATTTTTTTTTCTTCTCATTTTTAACTTTGCGCCCATTGCTATGGCCTATGGGCACAAGAAAAACGGAGGGTGCATTATTTTTTCTTAATGTGTTTGCTTTGCTAGGCTCCAAACAAGCAAAGGGGTAAAAAAAATTGATTTTTTTTTTTCCTAAGACATATCACATGTGGGGTACATCACTACATTATGATCACTCCATGAGGATCATGAGAGTGCGAAATGGTGTAAAATTAGTAAATTACCTTTAGTGTATAACTAGATTAATTCTCGTGCCATACACAATAATTTTTAATAACCATTATTAAACTATTGTTGTATTTCCTCTAAATCTTTTTAGTTGCAACACTATTTTATTTTGGTCCCAATTACGTCCCAAGGCAATTTCTATCATACAGTTAAAATGTATGATACAGGTGGCCATACAGCATGCAACCAAGATATATATATATTTTATTTATTTATTTATTTATTTATTATTCATTTGGTTAGCTACAAGGACATACGTGATAGATTATGATCATGCAACAAGAGAATGTGAGAGGGTATAAAAATACACCTTGGATTATAATGGACAGTGCTGATGGTTTGCATTTTGTTGTCATTAGGAGTTAGTGAGTATGTTGTATGCTTGTATGGATTCGATTATGTTTGATGTGGGACCAACATTAGGTTCAATGCCTGTTAGCATAGAAAGGGATTATTGACTATGCTTAATTGGTATTCCGTTCTAATTTTGCTACATTCACAGTTTTTTTTTTTTTGTGTGTGTCCTGAACTGATAAAAAATGTCTGAATTCAGCGTGGAGGTTTATATATAGCCAAGGGCAAAGGGACGGGGAGGGGGGGGGGGGTGGGAGGGCGCTGGTGGAGGCCCGGCCTCCCCGGTCCAAATTTGTGGCCCTTGATTGTTAACTTTTGGCTCCCCTGAAATTTATTATTTATAGTAACGAAGACACAATTAATACAACAAATGAAGCTTGTCATATTGGTTAGGTAGTGACTCTTTTTCCAAGTTTTGAGGGGCAAAAAAAGATTTGGTACTATGAAAAAGAGATTGTAGTAGATTTTAGTGTTGAATCTTTGATTGATGATTTTGCTACTATGAAAAATCGTAGAGTACGATTCACCTTTTTTTTTTTTTTTTTTTTTTGTAACAATAAAATACTAGTACATTTTAATTTTTTCCATCAATTTGTTGTTTAACAAGTCCGGCCCCCAGGACTTGAAAATCCTAACTTCGCCCCAATATAGCTTATAATTTTTTGGGTTAAAGGTGTTTTTTTTGGATCTAGTATGGAATTTGTAATTTTAGGAATGGGATGCTTGAGATTTGTTTTGACATATGGAGTCTGAATCTGACTATCAATTTATAGACATGTGCAGGAAATATGTGATTATGTAGCAAAGAATGTGAAGGACAAGCATGGCCTGGACATTGATCCTATGACAGATATAGTGATTTGTTGTGGTCAAACTGAGGCGTTTGCTGCAGCAATGTTTGCCTGTAAGTTCAACTTATGCTTGGTACTTTGGTAGAGAATGCAACGCAAGGTAATGCAATGGCTACAAGAAAGACATGTTCATTACCTGGCAGAAATTGCATTACATTGTGTCTCGGTAAACTTAAGGATAATAATTCTAACAAATATTTAATGGAATATACTCCAAATGTCCTGTGTAGTAATTGATCGAGGTGATGAAGTTATTGTACTTGACCCGTCATATGAGACATATGAATCTTCAATTAGCGTGGCTGGAGGAGTCCCTGTAAGCCCCTTATTTTTCATATGGTTTGCTTAAGGCTTAAATTAGATCATGACTCCCGAATGAATGATTATTAGAAGATGGCAAGAACATTTATCATTTGATATTTTATCTTTAACTCTCTGATTTTTTTTTTTCTCCAGGTATTTGTGCCCTTGGACCCTCCTTATTGGACTCTAGACCCAGAGAAACTAATGAAAGCTTTTACTTCCAAGACAAAAGCTATAGTATTGAACAGGTTTGGAATTTGCGGTTCTTTACCCTCTAGTAATCAATTGGTATTTCAGCCTAATTGCTTTGCTATTAAGGAGTTAGGGTCTGTTCTCATACGTTGAAATTCAGTTCAGTTCAGCTCCTAATTTCCTTCTCTTATAAAATATTCATTTCAATTCAGTTCAGTTCAGCTCAGTTCAACTGAGTTCGGTCAATGAGAATAGACCCTTAATGGAGCATTATTGAATAACTTTACAATAGGCTTTAATTGGTCTATCAAAAAAGAAAGAGTGTTATAGCCTGCTAATCTGCTATCGTTTGGTTAGTTGCTGTATACCGAAACTGCTAAATTTGATATAAAATACTGATACAGAACGACAGCCCTCATAATCCTACAGGGAAAGTGTTTGGAGTAGACGAGTTGGACATAATTGCTGAAGCTTGCCAAAAATGGGACTGCCTAGCTGTTACAGATGAAGTATGGGCAGAAAATTTTCTTAGTTCTTACTTCTACTGGCATCAAAATTTGTCTTCGCATTCTTATAGTGTTTAGCTCCCATAAGAGTTATGACATGGCTAATCTACTAGGTGACAGTGAAAATCCACATCTTAATATGTGGTTATTTTTTTTTTTTTCAGGTGTATGAATATATAACCTATGATAATGAAAGGCACATATCCCTTGCTTCGCTTCCAGGAATGCAAGAGCGGACAATCATCACTTCCTCTATGTCTAAAACTTATTGTGTGACAGGTGAGCTCAACTGCCTTCCCATCATGTTATGCAACCATTTTCGTATTTGACACCCTCATCTAGTCATATACAGGGACTAATACTGTATTGTGTCTTCATAATTGACACTCGCATACTGGGATGGATCCATGTGATGAGATTTATGAATTGTGGAGTTCTGGGGTCAATTATATGCATGTAATTAAACCTGGGAATTTTGAAATTTATTCTTGTGAAATTTGTAAATTGAGTTCATCCTGTCAGAAATGGCCATATGCCCAATTTTTTAATCGTGAGGGTTATTTGGCAATAGGCGGTTGACTTGTTTTCTTAGCTTGTTTGACCTGGAATATTAGCTGTTTGGATTGGTTTTTTAAGTGGTGGTTTAAGCCGACTGCTTACAAAAGTGTTAGGCAAAAGTTGTGGTTATTATTCTTTATTAGTGAAAAAGGGGACCAACAAGCCAAAGGCAGGCAAAAAAAGCTAATTGCCATAACACCCCCTGGTATTTTGTTTTGCCCTCATAATATTTATCGGAATCTGCCTCTACTCTTATAGGTTGGAGAATTGGATGGGCCATTGCCCCTGCATGTATTGCTGATGCTGTAAGAAACGTCCATATAAGACTTACGGATTCTGCTCCAGCACCTTTCCAAGAAGCTGCCGTGGTGGCTTTGCAGAGCCCCCCACAATATTATGAGTCACTTAGAGCAGTAAGATTTATATCAGTAAATTATCTATCCAGCGTAGATTGCAAGCTCTTAAACATATTTCTGGGTCTCAAGCATCAGCTTAAGCTTTTGGTTGAGTTGGTCCTTTAACATAATGCGTGTGCAGTTTAGGCTTTGTCATTTCACTAAATCACAAGTTTCTTTTTCTTACAGATAGACTTTGTTGAAGAACTGATCAAACAAGCAGGTGTAGTGGCTGTACCAGGATGTGGATTTTTCCATACAAAGCGTCCACCTGATGGTTATCAAAGAAGGTACATCAGATTTGCTTTCTGCAAAAGCAGTCAGACACTGATCGTTGCTCGCCGTAGGATAAGTGAGCTTCTAAATTTGGCTGGTCATCTCAAGCTATTTCACTCTGAAAATGATCCAGATTCTTGACAGTTGTGTAATCTGTTATTCATATGAATCAATTTTTGTTGCTCTTAGTTGCTACATAGAGGCATGTCATTGAAATTGTACTATTTCTTGCAATAATGCTTTTGTCTCCCATTAAATCTATTTGAATGATATTGTTATAAACCTTCACCTGATTCGGATTCGATACAAGTTATGCCCCGAACAAAGAGGCAAGCTGTACTGCCTACCAACGCTGTCGCAATGACTGAGGCTTGAATTTGAGTCTTCTGGTCAAGCTAGATCAACACCCGGCCTACTAGTTAACCGAAACCAACATTGATGCAGGTACTTCAGTCACTAATTTAGAATGTGTAGAAAATGTTGCCACATTTCTTAAAGAATAGTGATGGCATATAATGAAATTCCCTCGCCTCTCTTTAAATCATGTGTAAAGAAGATGATACAAAACTATATAAGTATTATAAGGGCATCACAATGTACATTGTTGCTCCAAATGAATAAATATTAATATAATCATGAATATATAGTTCAAACATTTTCAACATAATTGCTACTACAATTTGAAATTTTTTCTGAAATTTTTGTTTGCATTGGCATAATAATTAAAGTATCATATGCTCATATATTTCATAATATATGAACTAACATGTGTAATTTTGAAATACAATTAAATTTATACTCGTAATTCATAATTATGAACTATTTGCTCATTTGGAACTATAATGCACATCATTATTATTGTGAATTCTATATTTTATTTAATCTATTTTCGGTATTTGAGGAAAAACAGAGTAAATGTTGTGGATTATGATTACTTCTAATTTGTACTCCTACAAGGCTACAGCCTGCAACCATACCATCGCCAAAAAAAAAAGAAAAAGAAATTGTCAAAGTTCTAAACCACCACCCTAAAACTTTTATTGTTCCCAGAGAAAAGGCACAATTTATGTCAGCAGTTCAATTAGCCATGCAAAAAAATATGGAGAAATAATGATTTTTTTCTTAGGAAATATTAATTAATTTCTCTCTATTTTTTTTACCTCAAAATTGTAGGGTTTTTTTTTTTTCATCCATACATCTTGCTATGTTGGTTTGATCAATTGATCATTCTTACAACTTATTACTGCTTAACGTTATAGGCTTTTGGCTTTTTATTTAGATTATATATGTATTCATTTCTTGACATTCATATGTATTAAAAGTGAATAGAACAAAAAAGAACGAAATGAATACATACATTTTAAAAAGAAATGGCAATGACAATATATGAAGGCAACTACTTTAGTAATGAGGATCAAGATAATCAAAATAATCCCACACAAATGGAGGATCAACAACAGATTGCTCAAGTTCACTCACTCTTGCGCCTTATGAAGATCTCTAATGAATTTGTCGCGATAAAAGAGTACGTGTTGTACTTGTACCTTTGTTTTGATCTTCTAGTATCTTTTGATTTTTTTCACAGTTCAATCAATATTTCTTAATGTTGATCATTTTCTTCCTTGTTTCAGTTCAATGGAGATGTCTCCTCTGCCCGGAAATAACGTTGAGTTTCAGCATGATTATAATGTCGAATTAAGTTCACAGGTAAATTCTATTGTATGTTGGTGACACAAGCATGGGTTTATATTAATTTTGCTTCATATTGATTGAGACTTCGATTATTATTTGTAATAACCATGCTGATAGTGTAAATTGAACTAATAATAACGTTACAGATAATTCCAAATTGATATAATAATAAATGTTTGTTAATGAGATTTGAAAGGAATTGGTGGGTGAGATTTGAACTTGTGACTTTTCAGTCATGTTGGCTCTTGATATCATGTTAAATGACAACTCAACCAAAAAATTAAGGGCTTGTTTGGCATCATTCTTTGTTTTCAATTTCCTGTTTTTTTTTTTAAATCAAAAATCAAAAACAGGAACAAGAAAATGTGTTTTTTCAAAATTATTATAATTTTAATAAGTTCATATAATTTTTGATTCATTATGAGAAATATATCATATACTTTTAACAAACAAAAAACCAAAAAACAAAAAACCACATAAATGTCAAACGAACCCTAAGCTGATGGTTGAAATCCATGGCCAGGATTGAATTATATACTCTATCACGCCCCTCACATGAGAGCCCTTTAGGCTTGGGGTGTGGATGCGACATGTGGGCCCCACATACCCAGAATATTCTACTTGAAAGTGGGACGAGAAGGATGAGATTTGATCTTGCGACCTTTATGTCATGGACTTCAATTTTTATACTCTATCATTAGCTAATAGCTTTATCTATTATACTATTATTGTTTCATGACTTTAGGTTGATGAATTTAGCCAAGGAATGAAAGCAACTGATCTTCTAATGTCTCTTTCTTTGTCCGCGGACACTACCAAGCATAAAATCGAGGAGTTGGCTGAGAAAGCAATGGATGAAGTAACAAAAATGTTCGTGGAAGGAGATCCCTTATGGCAACATGATTTGGATAAAGGAATGGAGGTCCTTAACATGGTTGAGTATAATAGGAAATTTAACTCTAACTTAGACACCACATTGGATGAGATTATTAAATCATCGCGGTAGATGCTCCTTTAGACCTCCCTAACTTTGATGAAATTATCGTTACTAACAACAACAATAATAAGCCATCCAAGGAAGAAGATATTGTCGTGGAAGAACAGAACAAGTCCTTGAACAATGTTCATCATGGCTCGCGAGAAGTTAATTATGTACACATGCCTGCAATAAGTATAGTCGAAATCTTAATGGATGTGGTATGTTGATTACTTCTTAGCTTAGAGTAATTATTTTAATCTAATGAAATTTATCTTAATTAGTTAACATATGGTTTGTTTTCTTAGAGACTTTGGTCATTTGTGTTTTCTGAAATGCTCTCAAGGGCTACTGTCCTAGGAAGTATATCACCCGGAACACCAGAAACCTTTGATGGAGCCCTGCAATTGGTAATTCAATTCTCACTTTTCTTGTGTTATCGAGTTTTTAGCTGTTTATGTGTCTCTCATTCATTAGGGGTTATGAGAGGATTGCATAGCTAACGCGGTAACCTGTTGTATAAATCTTACATACTACAGAAATCGCTTTAAAGCATTAATTTTGGTTATGATTTGTGTAGATGTCAGCTGAGTACCATGCTCCCTCTCCTCTTCTTGTAACAAGGCAGAGTTGCTTTGCAAGATACTGCAAAGAGTTGTCCTCCAACACGTGGGCAATCGTCGACATTTCATTAGAAAGTTTGATAGACAATCCACTTATGAACTGCAAAAGAAGACCTTCAGGCTGCTTAATTCAAGGCTTACCTGATGGAAATACTCAGGCAAGATTTTATATATTGCAATGTACATAACATAACATATAATCTTGTTTTAGTCCATAAATATAAACTAAATCTTATATTGTTTTTCGGTGTTTGTATAGGTGACTTGGATTGAGCATACAGAAGCCGAAATTGCGTCAGTTCATCCATTATTCAAGTCACTAGTCAGCTCAGGAATTGTTTTTAGTGCAAAGCAATGGGTTGATACATTATCGCGACAATGTCAGCACCTTGACATGTTAATACAATATAGTCTTAATACTCTAATTAAAGGTAATGATAATCAAATTCTAAGCTCCCCTGCACCCTCCTCTTGTTACCAAAGCCGCCTAATTTAATTATATTATAGCTTGTACATGATGCTTATGTTAAAGCAGAGGTAAGTCCATTTCGAGTGGAGAGGTTGCTGAGGCTAGCAGAGAGGATGAGAAGAGGATTCTACGGTGCTACTAGTGCTACCGAAGGGAATGGTTACAAGCCTATATCGATTAAAGGAGGAGACGACATTTTAATCAAGACGTTAAATAGTGATGATCAAAGCCCTGCCTTATTGACTGTGACTACATCCTCCTGGTTTCCCTTCTCTGCTAAGAAAGTATTTAGCTTCTTGGGCAATGACAAAAACCGAACCAAGGTACGTAGTTATGAACTTATTATTGGTTATTATTCAAGAATGTGTTAAATTCCTCCTTGTATTTATGCATGATATATAGCATTGCATAGTTGCTTTGCCTATAATTACATACTGTTATGCTGTAGTGGGATGCGAGGAAGTATTCCATGTCCACAGTGGTCAAGGTCCAGAAGACATTGTTTCCATTACCAAAATGGTGGTATGTTGACTACATTACAAGTTAATTCAGTACATTTTTTGTAAGGAATTGTTACATATATTCCTAAGAATATACAACAGTATAACTGTTCTCTGCTCTTGGAAAATTGTAGGATGGTAAAGGGAGAATTGACACTTTTTTTCTACAAGAAAAACATGAAAGCGCGGTAGCCTCATACGTGCTCTTCTCACCCATGACTTATGACTCCCTCGCTACATTATCGAGCCATGGAGACATCGATGAAATACCTCTTTTGCCTTCTAGATTCGCGATATACTTTCTAACAAGGATCCTAGTCAAGCAGAGGAGGATGCAGGAAGCATAGTGACTGTTTCGTTTCAGCTTTTAGATAAATCATCAAGGGCACAAAATGTCCCTAAAAGATCTATACGTAAGTTGTATAATCTTGTAAATGGTGCACTTTCTTCTATCAGGGCTGCATTATTTGAGGCCCCTGCTAGTGTAGAAGGATCCTTGTTGTTAATTAAAAATCATTGAATTTCGTCGTGTTAAACTACTTATCCATTTTACTCCCTCCGTTTCACTAAAATGGTTACACTTTACTTTTTGAGATTAAGTTTGAAATCTCTAACCTTATATTGCTCACTCTTTGATACAAACAAGTGGAAATATCATCAATGGTAATCATTGGAGTTGACAATAGTTTATTAAGGCTCGTGTGGTACATATTAACTTTTTTTTTTTTTTTTTTTTTGTAATAAGGACCTTGACTAGACCTCAACCCTTACGGTTTTTTGGTTCAATAACTGCGGGCCAGACACTTGAGAGTAGAAGGGAGGGGAAGGAATTTCCTACACGCACCTCACTTGGTAGTTGGTAGGATTTAAACCCCCTACCTCTACGATTATTTGAGATAAGAAACTTATAAAATGAGTCAACACTTTGTTAGTCTTACCTTTATATATTTTCATTTACAATGTTGTAATTATAAAAATTGATTTTAACATTTAACATCCTTATTAGTAGTTTGCTCTAATTGCAATGTATTAAATCATGGATAGCAATTTTTGCATTTTAGCCTAAAATCAAATGATTCACATCATTCCACCCTAAAATCTCATACACAGTAATATCTTTGTATCTGAATAAATTTATTAGTTTGATATTTACATTATTCACATACTAACTTTGACTTGAACTATTATTAATACTTGTATATAAAAACCAAATGTTATTAAATAAGTTAAACTAGTACAAAACTAAAGATACTTTGTTCAAATTGCGCATTAACATGTGTGTTGATCAAAGTAATACACTTAAATATATACAAATGGAGTTTATATTTCAACAATTTAACCCCTAATGAAATATGCATCTACTATAACTCTAAGAAAAAAAAAGAAAAAAAAAAAAACCTACCTAACTGAAAAGTACCCGATTTAAAATTCTACACGAACACAATAATGTACCATGAGATCCATGATTAAAACTAGACACAATGAAACCCAACTTGCTAACCTCAACTGACACCTCTTATTATCAACATCAATGAGAGTGAAGGATAACTCAATTGATTAGAGTTCCCCTCCCATTTCCAAAAGATTTTGGATCGATTCTCATCACGGTGATCAGGTTTCAAGTCTAGGGTTGGTTTCAAATCAGGTTCATGTCACCATTTTTTCAGATTCATACGGGTCGGTTTAAATTTGGGTTCAGGTCCGGTCAGCTTTTGACAACTCTACCATGATCTGCCCTTGTGGCTCTCTAAACACCAAAAATAAACCCCGATAACCCGACCCAAAACAATCCAACCAAACCCGGCCCATAGACCAGGTCTAGATCTCCTCAAAACGGGTAAAAATATCCTCTATGTTCTATCCTTGAAAACTCCCAACCTAAAACCCTCACACTCATTCTCAATTCTCAGACCTCCATTTTCTCTCTCCTCCACAACAATGGCGTCCACCATAACCCGCTCTCTCACCTCCCTCCGCCCCACCACAACCACCACACTCACCTCCTTCAAACGCCTCCTCAGTTCTCTCTCCTCCACCTCCATCACCCACCCTCCGCCCATCTCCGCCTTCCCTCGCCCAGCTCGTCCTTCCATCTTCATCTCCAACTCAGTCCGAGTCATCTCTGCAACTCGGTTCAACTCCATCCGATGCCGGGTCAACCGCTCTGGACCCTACTCGCCCCTCAACAACTCCGGTGGATCCAATTTTAGCGACCGCCCTCCGACGGAGATTGCGCCGCTGTTTCCTGGGTGTGATTATGAACATTGGTTGATTGTTATGGATAAGCCTGGTGGTGAAGGTGCTAATAAACAGCAGATGATTGATTGTTATGTTCAAACCCTAGCTAAAGTTCTTGGAAGGTAAATATTATCACTCTTTTCTTGTTTTGGGTTTTGTTTCTTTTATCTTAATTATTTCGTATTACTGTTTTAATCGATACCTTAATGCGTGATTTGTGTTGAATTTGTTGATTATTTATTTTCCTCCTGTTGTATTTAGGGTTCTCAATGTTTAGTGTGAATTGTTGCTATAATAATGTCATCAATTTATTAGCTTTATTGATTTTATGTTTATAAATTATTATTCAGTCTGGTGAAATGGGTGTTGTTTGTTTGGTTCATGATTTTGATATGTGAGGCTGCAAATTTTATTTTTATTTTGATGCTGAATTTTTGGGTAGAAAAATGATTAAAAATATTGATTGTTGAAAGTTGGAAGATTGATGTTCAATAGTTAAATTAACATTTCGTGTTCATTACTATGTAAATTGTAAGAGATAAAACAAATCAAGTTTTCTTTTTCTATTGTTTCAATAATTTTAGGGTGCTTTTACATGATTTAAACTGGATAGATTAATGACGCCAATTCGAAATACAATACCCTGGCCCTTGTAACTGCAAAACATTTTTTTGTTTTCTAAAACACCTATTCATGGATTGTTGTAGAGGGTTAAGGCAAATATTCTGTGTTCAAGTTAACACCTTCGACCTCCAAACAACTCCAAAAATCGGTGCCAACAACATTAAGTGGTAATGGTTTTCTTCAGTTTCATCTCAGGTTCTTGCCGTGTAAATTATGAATGTGATCAAGGCCTGATAATTGTTTCAGCTAGCATTTTATTTTGTGCAAACTCATTTGCCTTTTGTTGCCTATTGTGTTTTATTTATTTTTTTCACATCAATTCGTGTATGTACTTGAATGGAATAGAATAGAAATATAGAATAGTAGAGCATGTTTATTGGTCATTAAGAAGGTTATCAAGGCATTAGAAGGAGAAAGGTTAGCATGTCCTGTGTAGCTGTGTTCATGAATATGATGGTTATCTTTTGTTCAAGTAACATTATTTTATTATCTGATGATGATTCAGTGAAGAGGAAGCCAAGAAGAAAATATACAATGTCTCATGTGAGAGGTACTTTGGTTTCGGTTGTGAAGTTGATGAAGAAACTGCTAACAAAATGGAAGGTATGTGACTATGGAATAGTTTCTCATTTGATTGTTAAATATATTTTTCATATCGTCATCTTAAATTTTGATGCCTTTCTTTGTTGTAGGTTTGCCTGATGTCCTCTTTGTTCTTCCTGATTCTTATGTAGATGCTGAATACAAAGATTATGGAGGTAAATAGTTGGTGTATTTATCTTCTCACCCTCCAGCTCTATGTGGACTAAATAATTTAAGTGTGTGATAATATAAAAAAATGGATAGAGATGAGATTAAATATTGTAATTGCCTGGTTCAAGAAAAATGTTGCTGCCATTCATGGTTAAATGCCAATTTTGTCCATAATTTCATGCCTATCATATCCACTCCACTTCTTGCAACATCTGTGAAAGCTGTCACTGTGAATTTCATTCAAAGGACATTGTTTTGAATTCATTTGTTGGAGCGATGCATTATCTAATAAGTTATTAATTTGGTTGATACCATGTCCTCTTTCCTTTTTATGCAATATACTCCCATGTATATTTTATTGTCTTACAGCATACTAGCTTACTAGATAGTCATGAGTTGAGGAACCTTGACTCTTAAAGTATTATAACCTGCAAGACTGATTTGAAAATCAATTTGTTGATATGGTGAAGAGAAAAGCCTTGCCTAACTGTAATTGTCTAAGCTTGGGATTCACAGTGATTATGCTTATTGCATGCTTCCTCCTTTTAATGTTAGTTGATACATTTCGTTTAGGCACACTTGCAATGCCTAACTTCAAATAATAATATTTCTGGTTCAAAAATTATATAATTTTGATATTTGAAAATAGATGTTGAGAGACTTGAGACGGATCAAATTATCAAACAAAGACCCCACTCGACTATGTTTTAAACAATGTACTGTGTATTTTGTTGAATTTATTCAGTGTATTAGTCGTTTCCTGTTATCTATTATTTGAACCATTTGCTGCATTTTGGTGATCCATTAGCCATATGGTAGCCTTCTACTCAGTAGCCAACTGCAATTTTTAACTGAAAATGAAGATGTGTTTTTAATTGAAGTAATGAGTTAGCCGTGTCAAGTAATGCAGAGAATTATGCTTGTTTCTTTGTTCACATCCTTGATGCTTTAACTTGAAAGACAAATTGGTGCAAGGTCCCATCCTTTGACAACTTCTGAGTAAACAAACTTTAACAAATTACCCGAGTACCTATGATAAACCAATAAAGTGGTGTCATCCCTATTCATACTCCTTTCACTCGTACTGAATAAGGAATACTATGTGAAATCTAAATTGTAATCTGCTGTGTGTTTTTTTCAAATTATTTTCAGTTCAACGAAATCCATTTTAACTTGGCAAAAATGAAGTAATAAAAATTGAGCCTTATTGAGTGAAAAATATAGCTAGTTTTCATAAGAAAGAGAATAAACATAGACATAAACATTAATACGTACTCCCTCCGTCCCTAAATTACATTCCTACTTCTAGCATTTATTCCTCACATAATAGAGAGAAGTAGGAATGTAATTTAGGGACGCAGAGAGTATTATTCACTGGAGAAGAGCACAATTTGTGACTGCCTTGTAGCTTCTCCTAGCAATAGTTTTGAAATCATTATACTGAAATGCAGTATTTTTAATTTCTTGCAGCGGAGCTGTTCGTTAATGGTGAAATTGTCCAGAGATCTCCAGAAAGGCAAAGGAGAGTGGAACCAGTGCCACAAAGAAATCAAGACAGACCAAGATATAATGATAGGACTAGGTATCAAAGGAGGAGGGAAAATATGAGGTAGACTGCATGAATATGGACTGAAGAGGACCTGCGCTGGCTAATAACCTGGTTGTTTGCAAGTAATGTGTTCGGCATGGTCATGCTTGCTGTCTATCAGTATTTGTAGTGTCGCACTAGGCTCGCAATAGTCTATATGTAACTTCAGTGTCACAATAGGTTAAAAAAAGCGTTCTTTTTGTCTCTCCTTGTGGGACTTCTAGTTGTGGAAATGAGAACTTTTATATACTGTTTAGTTGATTTAAGTATATTCAGTAAGGACTCGTGTATAAAAATTTGTTTTGCAAGACTACTACTCCGTAATTGGTAAAATTAAGGAGACTTATCTATGACTAAGGGTCTGCTCTCTTCGGCTTATTTTCAGTTTATTTCAGTCAATGAGAACAGGCCCTACCGCCCTAAGGGTTTTGATCTGCTTTAAGAATTGTGATGGGGGGAAATAAAATATGTAGTATTGCAAACTACCGAATAAGTTCATTAAATCTCGAACTTTAGTAGCTCCATTCTTACAACAATAACAATTTAAAGATTTCTAAAATCAACAGATTCAACTATTGAACTTTGAATCCCATCGTCAATTGAAGTTGAGGATTGACCGTGAGGACAGAAAATTCTGTCTTGGGTACAAATAGTAAAGATTTCAAAAGGACACTAAAAGGCTAAAACTACAGGTAATAAGGATCGAGGTTAAAGATTTGGCAAACAAACTTGAGTCACTCCTCCAAGTGACTTGGTAGCAATGAAATGTTCATCTATTACTAACCTAGATTGAAGATTATACCAAGATGATCCTCCGAAAATAAACATCAACTCGCTAAAATCGACTCCCAAAACCAAACACACACTAAAATGAACCCAAATAGCTTGAAGATATCTAAAGACTAAATTACATCTTTCCAAAACCACACAAGTATACATCTTTCCACAACAAGAACTCCCACCTAATAATAAGCATTGAAATTAAATTCATTCCCAAACCTAAATTTTACAATCTACAGCTTTGGCTATAAATGACTATTGTATTTATTAAAACTAGCTATTTTCAATTTTTATTGATGATTTTCGAGAATTGATCTTTTTAGTTCAGAAAGTAATCTTATTTATTTCGGTAAATCCAAATAGATCTGCTATATTAACAAATTTCAATGATATAGTGGCAAACTCGTAAATATGAACGCTATTGTTCATTATTTTAATATTATTACTTTTGTCCGCTGTTGTTTAATTATTTTCAAGTTGATCAAGAGCGACATGTTTCTTACTGTTTGGCTGCATGTAACAGTGAAAGTGGGCTTTAGTTTTCATTTTCTCTCTCTTCTTCAATCATTCCCCCCCCCCCCCCTTCTATGAATTAATTACACCAACAATGCAACAAATTAATCAATGTAAATTTCAGTTCATCATTTGCACAAAAGAATGAGGTAATTTCTTTTAAATTTCGCAAAATAATTGTAGCAAATCAAGTATGGGATGCCATTGATGATTCTCAGCTTCAATGGATAATAAGAGGAGGCTCAACTTCAATGGTGAACAGAGAGGGAAAGCTCATCACCTACCCTTTATTTCTCAATTTGTTTTTAGGGTTTTCGTTTAATTCGATAGCAAAACCTACGTTGGTGTTGGTGATGTCGAAATTGGAGTAGCTTGAAGATGAGTGGGAAAAGGAGATGAAGGTGGGTGTGAGGAAGGAGAAAGAAGAAGATGAAGATTAACGTCACTTAAAATTACGCATATATCTCTGACTTACAATTTGAAAAGACTATAAATCCCCAGATAAACGTAAAACATTGATCTAGCATATCAATTGGATGTGGCTCTTTTGACTAATTATTCCAGAAACCATGAGGATCAATTTTACACAACTCTTGTATTTTCTCCCTCTATACATATTGTTCCACTCCTCATTTTAAACACCCACAATTCCAGAGTCTCTAACTCGTTTCTGTCCTTGGCTCCTCTCGTACTCTCGTAGTTGTAATTGCTACGCAAACACAAAGCTCCCCAATCAGTCCTTTCCCAACATAAAATTTACGAAGTGAATTAAAATTGAGATTTATATAATCATAACCCTACTTTTTTTCAGCTGGAGGGTTGGACCATATTACCCAAAATCTGTCCATTAAAAATTAATTAATTAAAAAAATAAGGTAATCACAAAACTGAAAAGATTACACGCGTATATGACGATCTAATAATCTTGCCTATCATCAAGAAGCAGTAATCCATTTTCTATCCCTATACTGTTTTTTTTATGCAACCGCAGAACCTCGAAAATGCAATCCAAGAGCTTTCTGTATTGCCCTTTCTCCTTTTACTGCAGTTTCCATCATCTTATTTCCATTCGCAAGATATATCAATACCCAAAAATGATGCTGAACAAACACCAACGTTGCAGCCTACAGAAGTTATGGCCAGAAAATTTTAGTCAGCAATGTGATATACTCGATATGCATGTAAAAAAACACTATGCCTACTAGCCATTCCAACTCATACTCGACTAAAAGATGAACCAAAGCAAAAATTCTTACCTATCCGTAATTTCTAAATAGATTTAGTCACCAGACACAAAAGTCTTCTCTTCATAATACTTTCGCTCACTCGCTGCTTTCTTCTCATTCCGTTTCTGCAAAAAACATCAGGAAGAATAGATCAGATAGCAACTCAACAAGATAAATCAGATAATCCAACAAAAGAGAACCCCCTTTCTTTTTATTAAAAATAAAATAGGTGCACAAATGCATTATTTGGTGGATGTATAAAGGTGTCTAAGTAGAGAAAAACCTAGATTAACTTTCAGATGAATACAAAAAGAAGAAACAGCTGACGGGAATGAGAAATGCACACCTGATAAGCTTCATGATTAGCAACAATTCTTTTAATAATTGTTGTAGTCGTTATGTCCAATGGACTTTCTATAACTTTGAAGATGCCCATACTTATAGGGACAGCATAAGGGTTGTCTTCTTCCTGTAAAATACAATTCGTGCTTTTTAATATCAAGCAGAGATCAAATAATACACTGAAGCGACAAAAAAAAATGAAGGATAATTTACCTGCTGGAAGTCATCACTCTCAGCTACAGTTCCATGTACCACCAATGAGATATTGAAAGTTGTAATCTGCACCAGCAACAAACAAGTAAAATATACAAAAATGCTAATGATGTAGTAAGATAGAGTATGTTTTGATTAATGTCAAAACAAAAACAATTATTTCTCTATATTAAAAAAATTTGCAAAATAGGAATTTTAGGTAAAAAGAGAAATGGAGCAAATTAATAAAAATATGAAAGGAAAAAAAAAAAAAAAGCAATTTAGCAAATGAACCATTTGTTATTAATTAAAATAAACAAAAGATAAACAGAACAGGCACAAAATCCTTGAAGAAAGAAAAAGGGAGCATTACTTTGCATTTTAACAAGATGCTCAATAATCAAATATCCAAGGGAGTGTCAATAGAATAAACTCCTATGTCCATTGACTCCATTGTTATGTTTTCAAGTGGTAGTATGACCATTTAGGCTAATTTAGACTTATTATCCCTCATTCTATTGGTCGCCTACAAAAATCAATTTCTCTGTACTTTTCTATATTAGATGTAACACCTTCAATTCATGATACAATCATAATGATATTTAAACATATATATCATCTAAAAAGATACACAGCTCAGTAAGTCTGATAAATAATAACAACAATTTCAGCAAAAGATTTCCATGTTTGCCTCTTTCCAAGGATTCAAATGGGTAAACAGAATGTGAGAGGATGGAGTCATTCATAATAGAGCCACCCGGGAGAGAGGGAAGCCAAGAGAAATTTATATTGGCATAAATGTCAACACAGCTGAACAAACAGAAAGATCGAGCACAATATTTTCAATACTGGCTAGAGCAAAACTTTTTTGACTATTGCTCCTCTGTCAATTCACAAAGTTTGTATAATGAAAGGGGGCACTATCAACAAGTGAAAAGAGAAACCACAAGCTACCAAATGGAAAAGAAAACTAACCGTATCTTTAGACACTTCCCAAGGAGCACCGATGATGACCTCGTCTACATAGCGACATGCCAAGACACTTAGGCTTCTTTCATGAAGATTCATTATTGGTTGATGACTACCTCGTTTAGCACTGTACAAATTAACACATTTAAACAAAGTTTCTTGAGAGAGAGAGTGAGAGAGAGGAGGAAAAGGGAAAATAGATTAAAAAAAAAACACTTATATCAAACTCATAAAGTTTAGGTAGGCATACCCACACCACCTTCATCACACACCCTAACCTCAGTAGGTGAAAGAGGAGGTGTAGTGGACGGAGACATTGGCAGGAGAATTATATTGGGGGGTAGAGTTGGAGGTAGATAAATAAATAAAGAAAACCACAGAAAACAAGACAAAAGGCTAACATTTTTCCTAAACAAATATAAATTAAAATCTACTAACTCCATCATCCAAAATTAGTTTCTTTGAGGGAAATTGAAGTTTTAGGGAACTTATCACTACATAGCTCAAGACACATAAATTCTCTCCAAGTATTTATTTATTTCATTCAAGTCTAAAGTGGTGTTGAAGGATACCGGGATGATTTTATAAATGTACTTGTGGGTGTGAATAAGGTCATATGACATACAAAGAAGGAAAAAGGACTACATATTTAAGGCAAAGAGATTATTATTGTTTATAAAGGCAATTACAATCTATGCTATATAACAACAGATACTACTAATGAAAGCGAACCCGGTCCTGGAATTATTACATGAGAAGGGCATAGATTATAACCTGACAGTCTGGTCAGTATGGATTCCAACAAGAAGGAAATCTCCTAATTCCCGAGCAAGCCGTAATATCTATGAGTCAAAAGAACATCGCAATTGAAGTTAGCATATAAATTTCATAGGTATACAACAATAAACTAAACAATGCAAACAAGAATAACAATGTGATCCGGCTCTATTCAACTTTACATGTCGTATTTTGGATCAGATCAGTTCATTTATGACTTATCTGAATCAGATGTGGAACTAAACTAGCTAAATTGAACTAGAGTTGCAAAGGCTTCATAAGGTGAAACAGCCAAATCCAATAGCACATATGAGTCTCATAAGTTATATGTCATAAGATACAATAAGAAGATTCAGTTGAACATAGAAGCTTGAAAATTCTATGCGCCTTAACCTTAACATACAATAGATAAAGGCCGGCAAGGCCACATAGAAAGTAATATTTAATCTCTCTTACAAAAAGGGAGGGAGGAGAAGCGACAGCATGTGGGCATAAGAAGGTGGAAAGCCGGAAAACAAGAAAAATTATGCCATAAAGCGTTAAAAAAAGAGAACACCATCATACCTCCACATGCCCTGC